GGGGCCCATCCCAAGAAACCCCCCCCCCCAAAAAAAAAAAAAAAATGCTGCTGAGAAGGAGTCTGCACTGAACTGGTGCCTGTGCAGCACTAACAGAGCAAGCTCACAGGCCCCACTGCTTGCTGTGGGGCAGCGCAGAGCAGGTTACGGAGACGTAAAGCAGATCTGTCCTCGGCAAGGTGTGTCTTAGATGTGCCCAAGCGAGCTCTGCGCTAGCTGACGTCCTGGTGACAGCCCTGTCTGGCAGCTGAGCTCAGCGCACGCTGCAAAACCGGTCCAAGCAGCTCTGGCTGGTGCGCTGGTTCCCACTGGCGCATCTCAAGCGATTCATGCATTCGCGCCGGCTGCCCCTGGACTCCCTCGGCAGCGCCTCTCCCCTGCCACCCCGGCGGTGCCGCCTTACCGTGCAAAGCCCTCATCACGAGCACTACGCAGCGACGACTCCCAGGGCTGATGCTTGCCCCTTCAGGGGGCTCGGAAGGCACTGACGTGGAGCAAGACACAGCATTCCCCTCAGTAAAATGCTGGTTTTCAAACACGTGAGGGCAATGCTGTCAGTCCAGGGCGCATGTAATGCAACAGCCCTTGGGGCAGCAGAGAGGAGCAACTGCCACGAACAGGAGCCGAGCGAAGAGCAGCACGCGGGGGCTGCTGCGGAGGACGCGGGGGCTGCGCACGCAGGGGGCCTTGCAAGGCTGCGCCCAGCCTGGGCGCGTGCCCAGGGAGCCCCCGGCAGGCACCAGCGACCCGGGGGAGCTGAGGGGATGTTTCTGCAGAAAATACCAATCTGGAAGGCCCTGGAAAACCTGGACAAAGCCCTACGATAATCCAGAAGATCCCAGTGAGACTGGAGACGCTGCACTTTCCAAGCTTAATTAATTTAATTAATACATGTCAGAAGCACCTGCATTTCCACACACACAGCGGTAAAAGGAACAACTGGAAAGACAGGACAGGACACAGGTTTATTTTGTGCAGTTATTTGCACAGGTCTCCACTTTCTGTCCAATGGTAACAAGATTTCAGAGAAAGCTCTCAGCCTCATTTGCTCCAGTGTTTCCAAGCCCACCGCCCTGGCAGGCAGCGCGCTTCCATCCTTGCAAGGACCGCGCGCCTGCCCCGTCTGCGCTGCCCTTTCAGCACAGGTCTGCGGAGGAGCTCAGCCCTGGCGGCCCAGACAGCGCAGCACTGACCCAGTGCCCCCGCACGCCTTTCAGGGCACAGCCCGAAACTTCGGGGCTGGGAGAGGGTCCGCCGCCCCGGGTGAGGAGGAACCCAGGACTGAGGCCCCTCTTGCTCTGGATCTAGCCAGGCCAGCGCCCACATCTCGGCAGTGGATGCCGGAGACTGCTTTGTCCAGAATGAAAAGTTTGGGGAAAATCCCTGGATTTGAAAAATGCATTTCTTCAAGTCTCTTCTTATCTACACCGGACTGTCCTGCTCCAGGCAACAGGCAACGCACTCCGTGCTGATGCAAGATGCTGGAATTTGGGAACCCTCGGCTGGAGGATGCCCAGACCAAAGCTGCAGGCAGCCCCTTCCCATCTCCCAGCACCGGCCGCCAGCGGTGCCCAGGGAGGAGAACAGGAGATGAGAAAGAGCGCAGCAACACTCCTCTTCCCAAAGGCTTCATGTCTTGAGGCACCAGGCCTGTGGCCCTGCTCCTGCC